CCCAGCCCCAGATGTCAAGTTGAAACCTCTGGGTTTCACTGGGTGGATTACAGTCGTCAATTGAACCGTGCTACTGCTGTGGTGCTCGCCCTCAGGAATCTGCTGCCCCGCGCATCTCGCTGCTGGCGGGTCTGGGTCAGACCTGTCTCATCAGCTGGACACGGGCAATGTCGAGACCTGTCATTGGGTTCCCGAGTTAACAGTGTGTGGTTAACATAAGGGGCAGTTTGCCTCTCGCAGCTGCTGTTTAGGGCAGTGGTTTTTTCAAGTTTTTTAGAGCTTAAGGCAACCCTCCAGAGATACCAGTGTGTGGTTTCCACTCATTTTTTGACAGTAAAACAGTAGCGCAGCAGAAAAATAACTAAGAACCTAGAAAGATCACAAGAGGGTACAGTGTTTTTGATACTATGAATTCATGTTTGAACTGTCTGGGTTTATCCTATGAATCATGTTTACATACCTAACGTGCTAACACTATGATTTTTTGAAAGGATCTCTAAGCACCTCAGGGTGTGATGGTTAAGAATCGCTGGTCTGAGTCTTGAATTTCTCCTGGGTAGGTAGGGTGCAGGGGGTATGAAGTCCCCACTTGTCCCACATCTGTTATGCACTTGTTGGGGATTGTGCCTCAAATAGTGTCAGCAAAAACATGACATCCCCCTGCAAGGAATTGGACCCAGTCAGTGAGACTTGCTGGGTCTGAATTGATTATTTAAACCAAATAATTACCCTGGGGTATGTCCTGGAACAAAGAGCTGTTCCAGGATCAAGATTCATTTCTCAATAGCTTATGAATATGGTGAGCAATTGAGCAGTACATGTAGGTGAATGAATGAATTTCTCTATATAATGAATTGCAGCACATGTATGTGAGTGCATGTATTAATGTGCTGTGCTGTGGATATGTTCTGTGGTTTAGCCCTATGAAAATAAGAAGCATACTGTCAAAGAGAATGTATGTATGCTTAGAGGTATCATCTAACTTTCAAGTAGGCAAGTACCAAATGTTATGATCCATTGCTGTTTTAAAAACTTGTTTGCATAATTAATTTTGTTATTAGAAGAACTATATTTAATTTCTCTTTTAAACTGGTTTAAATTAATGTAAAGATTTCCTGGCAGTGTGGTTAGGACCTCATTGTTTTAAAAGAATACAGTTTAAGCCCTTAAGTAGATGTGGCCAAAAGGATCCATGATGCAGTCAAATTGAGTATTACAGGAGACTGCTGATGATCATTCCTTTCATGGGAATTTTCCGCACACTAACCTTACTCACATGATTCAACATTTTCAGCTGTCAGTAGTTTTGTAGTATGCTAGGGGAGGAATGCATTATGTTTTAGTTTCTGAGCTAAATTTAGGTCCAAAGTGAAGGATATGCCTCTCAAGCAGGCAGGGTGGGAGGTGTTGTAGAATAGTATACTGGAAAATATACTGAGGAATAGGGTATATGAAGTTTTTTGAAGTGAAAAGAACAGAGTCACTAAAGTATCAAGAATTTTATATATTTTTCACAATTTTTTGTTTTCTGGAGCATCTTACTTTTCTTGTGAAGATTCAGAGATATTTACATAGCTCTTTAGCAAAAATGTAAATCTACACCTGAACTAAAAAGTTCCTTTTTTAAGGTTAACAAATACATTTATAATGTTAGAGGTGCTTAATAGCTTATTAAGTCAGGCATTTTCCCCTAAAAGTTTTTTTGCCTGAGGTAGACTGTGAAGGCCAATGTTCTATCATTTTCCTATTAAAATTGTTGTATATAGGCACAGAAGGTCCTGGTGTCAGCATCTCAGAGGAGAGACAGAGCACTTCTGAAATTAATGGTGTAAACATCATCTATAATCCTTATGCTTCTCTTTCTATTGAACAACAGAGACAAAAGTTGCCAATTTTTAAGGTATGAAAGGACTTTTTGATGTGCACATATCTTGCATGATGCCTGTTTTCTATACGTTGTTTCTGATTTTCTCTCTCCATCATCACTTTACAACTTGAAACAAAGTCAGGGAAATCATCTTTCATTTTCTTTCACTTTTTGTTCAGTTGTTTGCAGGTGACTTTGTTGTCTTTTATTACAAACTGTGGAGATTTATATTTAACTATTGTTGTGTGCCATATGAAAAATATCTTATTAGAAAACTTAAAAGTTGTTTAGAGCTTGCTGTCAGAAAGCTAAGTAACAGTAACTTACTGGCATAAGTAAGTTACATGTACATAAGCATCATTCTTAGATATTTATTGACATTTCTTTTCTGCAAAATTGAATGTCTTCCTCCTGTCCAGCTTAGAAATCACATACTGTACCTGGTGGAAAACTATCAGACTCTGGTGATTGTTGGAGAAACAGGATGTGGCAAAACCACCCAGATTCCACAAGTGAGTGAGATTATAACTTGGCAAAATTGTACTCTCTCAGATCTTATATGGGAAGCCACCCCAGATGTCACCATAGTGCATTGTAGTATAGGGACTAGTCATGATAGTATGCAAGTCCGAGAGAGGAGGAACATACCTATAAGCAGTTGAAAGTTGGCACTGAAATGGTATGATGTATTCTGCCCCATCAGTTATTAACCCAGACTTGGGCCATTGATTTATCTTACAAAATGTAGCTTCTTAACTAGGTGGCAGACTATTGTATGTGTATTTCTTAAATTTATTACCTTTTCAGATTATTTAAAATGAGAGACACCTTTCAGTCAGGATCTTCATAATTCTCTGTTTTTTTATTTACTGTGCTCCATTCCTAGAGAATTGTATCAACTTGGGGGGATATTTTTCATGTTTTTATTGCATTTTTCATTTTCTGTTACATTATTGATCAATATAAGGTATTGATAAAAAAGAATCATGATTGGTCAAGAATGTAAAATTAACTTGTCAGATCCCACATACCAGCAAAACTAGTAAGGTATATTACCTGCTTCAAGTGTGAATACTTGACTAAAATTTAGAAAATTGTACTGGGTAGAGGCTACAAAACAAAGACGGGAAGGAAATGTTTAAAGAGCAGTGTTTTGCACTTTTGCAATTCCTGTTACCTGAATTTCTTGAAGTGCTTTCTAACTGCTAATGCTCTTATAAAATAGATGTAGTAATATATTTGTTTATTTAGGTATACTGTAGAGGTATAGTGTTCACTAATGCAATCATTAAATAATTTATTTGAGATCGTACAGATCAATGTTAGAACCAGGAATGAATCTCAGGAGTCTAAACGTTAAGTAGTTTGCTCCAAAAATTAGATAATTGCCTCATATAACTAATTAATTCCATGTCTCCAATATGCTTGCAGTACTTAGCAGAAGCTGGCTGGACGGCTGAAGGGAGGGTAGTTGGAGTGACTCAGCCTCGCAGAGTTGCTGCTGTTTCAGTGAGTTTCTCCAGTTCTAAATTTCCCTGTTTGCTGAAAAAGTTGCTGTTGCATCTTCAAGTTCAAGTTTTTCTTCTACTGATTCTCTTTTGTCAGAATGTTCAGAAACTCTAAATTCAGTACAAATTGTGCTTTGTCAAACGTGGCCCTACCATAGAAAATGTTTGAGTCTACATTGGGGGTTGGCAAAATACAGCCTGTGAGGCACATCTGGCTCGTGGCAGGTCCCTTGGTCCTGCCTGGCCCAGGCACTGTCCAGCTGTGACACATGGGCATACAGCTTGGCTGGGACTTTACTAGGCAGCCCAAGTGGCAGTGGCAGGACGTGCCACAGGCGGGCAGTGTGGATCAGGCCGGGGCGGGGCTGTGCCCACATTCTGGCTGATCTGCTCCAGCAGGGGTGAGTCTGGAGCAGGTGTGGGGTGCACTGGGGCTGCTCACTGTTGGCAGTGGCAGGGAGGTGTGTCAGGGTTCATGGGCTCCAAACTTGTGGAACAAGGGTGGGTGCTGGCCAGGTCAGGGGAGGCGCACATGAGGGGGCTTCCATGAACACCCTACCATACCCACAAACCCTCTTTTGCAAACCCCACAACCACACCCTTCCCTACACACAATCATGCACCCCACAAACACTGCACCCACCAATGCCCTCCCCCAACAAACCCCACACCTCTCCCCACATGCATCCCCCACATTCACAGACACCTGTGCATCTCTAGGGGGAGTCCCCTCTTACTGCTATGTGCACACACCCCACCACACACATGTACCCCCCACCCGACACACACACACCCACAGCCCCCCACAAACCCCATACCCACTCATACACATCAAAACATCTCCACAAATCCCCCATACCCACACACACCCCCATGCCCACATACGCACACACCCCCAAAACCATCCACCCACATCCACACCACCCCATGCCCACATACACCTCCAGCTCCCCACAAACCCCATACTCGCTACACGCTGCACCCCACTATACAAGAGTAAGATTTCATTTTGAGTGATTATGCAATCACCTCTGTATATATACAACACAAACGCACACAACTCAGGACAAAAATATTAAAATAAATTAAAATATGTTATTTTCAATGTTTGACTTTTAGGTATCTAATTTGTTTTTTTTCCAGTTCCGAGATTGTATACCCCCTTCCCAAAAGGAGTACTTCTTGGGGGCAAGGGGAACCACTTCTAGTGGCATAGGTCAGATATTAGGGGGTAGGACTTTTGATTTCAAGAGGGCAGCCAGGATGTGGGGCACCTGTCAAGGGGCTGGGCTACCCTTGTGTCCTTCACAGCTCACCAAACCTTGTTAAGTCACCATCCACCAGAAATAATTGCCTGCCCCTGTCTATATACTGATGTAGGTTAATTTACTAATTGTTTCTCTCTAATTGGGATGGAGATTCATTTGTAAACACAAATTTCTACTTGTTGTTATCGCAGTTCCTGGCATGATAGAGTGTAGCTCAGTTCAACCTGACTAGCAGGCATTGCCAAATAGCTTGTCAGATCTGGAATGGCAAAAGTAGGTCTTATGAGCTAGAACTGAGGGGCAGCTGCTGAGTTGTGTGTAGGAAGCTGGTGCTGTGTTTGTTTGTGAATGAGACCATTATTAATTCCTCATGGTCTTCAAACACCCACAAAAATAAGTGGTGGTAGAAAAGTGTAATGACATAATGGAATATTAGGAAGATTGTGATCTGTTTGTGTGTCTAGTACCCCTTGTCTAATTTTTTGTTCTATTGTATTAGTTTTCTCTGATAACCTGTTCATCATATTGATTCTTTCTATGTTCTCTTAATTGCTGAGATTTAACTCATGGGTTTAAGTTTCAGTCCATTGCAGCATTCAACTTTTGCCCCAGATAACTGTCACTCTTGACCATTTTGTGCAACTTTCTCTGCCATACTCAACCTGTCCCTTGTTATAGTACATTATATGTACATATTGTACCTAATGCCTATGTTGTCCATTACACTGTAAATTTGTTGTACATACAGTTCTTGAGCCTCGACCTCTGGAAAAATAAACACTTGGTAGATTCCTTTTTCCCTGTCAAGCTGAATTGCTGATCTTTTGTTTGTCATCATCTTTTGTGTACTATCCATCATGAAGGACTGGAACCTAATGCTTGAGTGAGCTTTTCCTTCAGCTCTTCTCCATTCTTATCTTCAATAATATGCCTAATTGCCTGGGCAGTGCAGTACCTGAGGTACTATGTAAAATGCAGAAACTTGCATGAACTTTGTGTGTTTACTCTCCAATGTGACTTGGGTCTGTTTTAAATCAAGACATTTTAGCCTTTTAAGCATTTTAAGCATTTTAGCTTAAAACTAAGTATATGACCATGGAGGAATCTTGCTTGCTGTGCGAACACGCTTGTGATTTCTCTGGAATTCATGGCCAATGTAAAGAGATGGGAAGCATGTTATTTAATTTATTACTTTGACTAATTGAAATTGACTTTTGATAAAGCAGACCATTCATCTGCTATATCCAGTAAAGGATGGAGGTCATCAAAAGGCAAAAGAGGCAGTTGCAATGATATAAACTCCTGCAAGCTCTGCTGAATTACCCAAGTTGAAATGTAGAGGTATTTACTTGTGCTGTGTGAGGAATAGTGCCAAGAAGATTGTGTTTGAGATCCTGGGTTCGTGAAGGAATTCATGGAATAATGACTAATGGAAATAGCAGACAGGTCAGCATGAAGGAGACATGTTCATGAGTGCAGGGAAGAGACCAAAGTATGCCCATGCAGATTATTTAAAAAAAAAAAAACCTGTCAAAACAATTTAAAAGAGGATTATTTATGTAAGTGAAAACAGCATGCTGCTGACAAACTTAATAGACCAACCATCCATGTCTGTCCCTTTTGCAGTGGCTTTAGTTTCTAAATATAGGTTTTCTTTTGTTGAACTTGCTGTTCTACTTTCTAGTAATACATTCTGGCCAACATAATAGCATCTGGTTAATCAAGTTTGAAGCTTTTGTCTCTTGATTTGGTGGTTCAGTATGTTGAAAATTTTGATTTAGAGCAAATTTCTCTTCATTTCTCTGCTAAATATTTGCACCTTACATCAGCAGTGGGAGATTTTTAGTTTGATTCTTAATGTCTACTGTCTTCTTTAGCAAAAGGATAGATATCAGAAGCAAATATTCCACCACTTCTTGTTTTTTGGGTCAATTTAGCTCAGCAATTGAATATAATTTGTCAGCAGAACATGGTCACCTTCTCTATGCACATACCCACATTTAGTCTCTTTTGATTCTTAATATTGCTGGCAACTTGGATGCTATTTTCTGAATGGGAAACAAAAATATATTACTACTGGGATAACTGGATAACTGTGCCAGCAGGTGAATGCTGGTTTTATAATTATTGTTTAGAAAAGGTTGTTTAAACAGCCATAAATGCTGCTACAAATGGAAATTTCCCTTTTCCCCAACAAGAAATTCAGCTGGAGCTGAGACTGTTTCATAGATGATAAATGTCTATGCGGCACAGAGACGGTGTAAATTGATTCAGCGTGTTTGCAGAAATAAAACATTGGTTTTTACATAAAATGACACTAACAATGTCATTTGCATGCATTTGCTTTTGCAGGTGATAACTTTTGTCAGTGTTTCATGGCCAGCATTTGGATTAATACAGTTTCTTGAATTAACTTCTAAACACTCAGTTTCAAATGTTTAAGGGTATTTTTTCTTTTATTTAGCAGAGGCTGTTCTTCCCCTCCCCACTTCTTTAGTGTGCTTATTTTAAATTGATCAGTGAAAGCTGTAATCTCAGGGTCGCAGGCAATTTTTATCAATGGTGCAGTTACCAGAATATATACAGTTGAGAATTAAACCCTTTAAGTTTGATTCACCTTTTCCTAGCACCCATCAATAGAAGTTCCAGATTACTCAAGGTAAAATAGTTCAGTGGAATCCTTTCTGTGTATTCTGGCTGCTGAGAGACTGGTTGGGGAAGTCTCTACCTCAGAGGGTTAATAAATGGCTCTGTATGTTTTCACTTTATCCTTCTGTCAGCTGCCTGGGTGCTTTGAGAAACTCTTTTCCCAGTTTTAGCTTTTGCCACGGTCTGTGTCCTCTGTCACAGCCAGTCAGCTCCTTAGCTTTCTGAAGTAGAAACGGATATAAATTGTCCTGATGCTTGTTGGTTTTGCTGTCATTTAATTTACCGTGAACATTTGTTCTATTTTCTCAGGAGGTGTTTCCTTATTTTGGAACCGCTAAAATGTCCTATTTATCAGTTGTATCAAAATGTTTTATTTTTTAAAACTGTAGAAAATTAACCATGCTGCTGTGCAGAGTGAATTTTCTTAGTTCATCAGGAGCAATTCAGTGTAAAGACCTTTGTTTTCTTATTACACGACTCCTTTAGCTGTTCATAAACACTGATATCAAAGAAGTTTGTGGTAAACTATCTTCCTTATTACTGTCTGTCTGTTTCTTGGATGTTGCATTTTCTTTTAGGTTGCAGGCCGAGTGGCTGAGGAAAGAGGCGCTATGCTGGGTCATGATGTTGGATATTGTATTCGTTTTGATGATTGCACAGACCCTCAGGCTACAAGAATTAAGGTGAAACTTGAGCAGATTTCAGGTATCCTAAAATGGTTAGCCGAAGCTCACAAGGTGCTTTTGCAAATGCTTTAACCTTTGTAATGTCTGATGAGATTGATATGTTAGATTGTACTCATGTAGATGAGGAAACTGAAACATTGGCAGGTTAATTGTCTAGAATCATGCCGGTGGGTCAAAAGTAGAATGAGGAATAGGTGTCCAGCTCCCTGCTAGCACATTACATTCACAACTGTCAATATTTTTAGACTTTATTAAAGAAAGGGGTGTGGTGTTTTATTATGCTATCTATTTCTGGGGTGATAGATCAGCTCTTTGAAAGAGCAAATTTTTAAGGAATGGAGCATGAGTTTTCATTCCACTTTTACATATGTTTTTCTCGTTGTTCAGCACGGTCAATACCAGCAGCCATTTAAAACCCATAGGAGGTTTTTCAAGGTGGTTAAGATCAGATCAGATTGCTGCAGTGTTTGTGAAACTTGATAACAGTGAAGCAGTAATGTAGGTCTGCAGCGAGTCAAAGTTAAACCCTAGCATCACCTGAATTACAGAATTAGATTAAAAGTGCAGTAAGTTAGAGAATTAATAGACAAGTTGAAGGTGACTTTATGTGAATGAGAGTACTCCTCATGGCTGTATTTTAAATTATCACAGTGAGCCACATTGAAGTTACTGAAGCTGTGTGGAAAAGAGTCTTTTTCAGTGGATTAAAAGCAACTATTAGGTTTTATATAATACTTTCTCATTAATAAAGCTTCATCAACAGACTTACCAACTATAAGCAATTTTGAGAAGCAGTATAAAAGAGTGGAAAGACATTTGTTTGCAAAACAATTTTTTTTTTTAATGGATTCTGGGATTGGGTATTGGGAATATGAAGTTTTTTCACCCCAGTGCCGTAGGTTCATGTCCAACTCTTGAGCATAGTTGGTTTATTCAGAAAAGAGACCAGCAGGTCTCTTTTCTGAATAAACCAACCATGGTTTTTGTGTCCAGATCCAGACTAGCCAAAAATCATTACTTTGATGATTCTCAGAGATTTTTGTGAAAAGCTGGCATATCATTTAGCTAATAAGGAGAATGTTTGCATCTCAAAGAGTATGAATCTCTAGATGTGGCAGGTTGAAGCACCACCTCTGAATTTATTTATTTAAATAATGAGCTTACTTTCAAGCTACTTCAGCATCTCTTGTTTGCAGTTTACTTGAGTGTTGAGAAACACATGGATTTCTTTTATACCTGGTGCTTAAGGGAGTGAAAATCAAGTATAAAATTACTCGGAGGTAATAAAAAATGCAATTAAAATGCATCGTACAATGCAGAACACTCATTGGTTTCTTACAAACAGGGCATGAAAATAGCTTTTTCAGTTCAGATTGTTCTTAGAGATAACTAATTTTCCCTTTGTGTTTGTTTTCAGTTTCTGACTGATGGTATGTTGGTGAGGGAGATGATGGCTGACCCATTACTAACAAGATACAGGTAAAGATATGTACACTGATGACAGAAACCTATGGCAATTGACTTTTTTTTCAGTTTAGAGAGCAGTTAATAACCACCATTTTTGCAACCCAAATTGAAGACTATTTTTGAGTTTTAATGCCAGATGTATTTTAGAGAATTGCCAACTAACAACCCACATTTTCTGTTTTAGATCAAATGTATTTGGATATAAAGTCCTGGAAAGTGAGGCTTGTAATGGGAATGAAAAGTACCAATCTAATAATGAGGTTCTGCTCTGGGAGGTGTGGGAGTACCAGTAGAACTGGAGTGAGATTATTGTAGAACCTCAGAGGAGCTGTAAGTCTCTCAGTGAAGTTTAGCTTAAATCAATCGTTTTATTTTTCACAACAATTCTGGCAGACATGATATGAAAGTCAAACTGGGTTCCTTGTGCTCTCACTCACCAGTGACAGGAAACCTGGTTAATGATTCTGTTGATTATCTATAGGACAGAATATAATTCAGGGCCAGCAAGAGTGAGAAGCAGCATAAAAATACTTGGATTGGTTGACTGAGGAGGGTCATCTTTCCATGTATTGACTTTTCAGAGTAGAACTGTAGTTCCATTGCTTAAATGTAAACTGAAACCCATAAAGGAATAAATGTAGATTGTGTTTTTTAACAGTGGGGTTGGTGCCATGGAATAATTGTACCTCGTAAGAATTTGAGCTATGTAGTCTCATAGTTTAAATTGATCTCCCCCTCCACCCTGTTTAAGGGTTATCAATAAAAAAAAAAACACAGATAGTTTTCCAAGCCCTAGGAAGTCTGTGGTTTGCAGAAATGATAGAAAAACAGCTTTCTCAAGCCCTTTAAAAATGGGGTATACAGCATGTGTACTATTCTTTTCCTCTTGTCCTTTTTTGTTTTTTCCACTTTGAAAAATGAAGCTATTTTTTTTTACTTCTCTCTGTTGCTATTCCATTTATCGTGCAGCTTTTACTAAGCAACCAAGCCAAATAAAGTTTTCAAACCCAGGCTAATCAAAAGGGTTCAAAATCAGGCAAAATAAAAGTTTACCTATTCCTTCTTGTACTGCCTAGTAGTATGGTTGATAAATTATAGGGAATTTAAATGAGTAGCTTGCTGTGTTCCCCTCTGCTTTTTTAAATAGGTTTAGCTAAAAGCATGAAGTTGTCTTTAACATTCTAGGCATTCCTCTGAAAGTGTGTGGGTATGAAACTGTCTTGGCTCCGGTGTCAAATCTGATTATAGAAACTGTCTTTCTGCTTTGGTCCACAGTGTCCTCATGCTGGATGAAGCGCATGAAAGAACCCTGTATACAGACATTGCCATTGGCTTATTAAAAAAGGTCATTCTTTTAATTTCTCTTTTTGTGTTTTTCCATCACTTTCCATCCATTTGGGCACAGCTTTATGACCCAAGGATTTTAATGCTCCTATCATGCTGCTGTCTTATAAAATACAAGGTATTCAACTATTCCCTTGCTACCACACAAGGTCTACCCTGTTTCCTCCATAACCTACCACTTCTATACTTTCTTCCCTTCGAGTCAAAGTGCAGTCTTTTTCCATTGCTGATGAACATGCTTCCCCATGAATAATTTCCTATAAAGGTATTGGCACCATTGGAGATCCTCTCTTCCATCTGGCATCAAGACCAAAATTACAATGTTAATTTTAGAACAGCCACTGCTTGGCCTATTCTGATCTTTGAAAAATGGTCCTTGTACAATCCTCCTTAAATAGATAGTTCTTGGGTATACAATGAAGTTTGGTGTAGCTCTGCTCACTAGATAAGCTTTGACTCATTCAGTTGTCCCATGTCTTGTTAAAGTCTGTGGTTTGCAGAAATGATAGAAAAACAGCTCTCTCAAGGCTTTTAAAAATGGAATATACAGCATGTGTACTATTCTTTCCCTCTTGTCCTTTTTTCCCTCTTGCCCGCGCTGTTCAATTTCTTTATCAGCGATTTGGATGATGGGGTGAAAAGCAACCTGTTTAAATTTGCTGATGATACCAAAATTTGGGGTGAGGTGAGCATGGTAGTAGGGAGGGAAAGACTGCAGCAAGACCTGGCAAAAACAGGATGCGTTTCAATACTGACAAATTCAGGGTGCTGCACTTGGGCAGTAGTAACCAGCAGCACACTTATAAGATGGGAAATCCCTTCTTGAGAGCATCGAGGCAGAAAGGGATCTTGGAGTCATTATTGACTCCAAGATGAACATGGGCCGACAATGTGCGGTCATGGTTGGCAGGGCTAACCGGACCTTGTCGTGCATCTCAAGTAGGGCCAAGGAGGTGATCCTCCCTCTCTGTGTGACACTAGTCAGGCCACAGCTAGAGCACTGTATCCAGTTCTGTGCGCCCCACTTCAGGAGGGATGTGGACAACATTGAGATGGTCGAGAGGAGGGCCACCCGCATGATCCAGGGACAACAGGGCAGACCCTACAATGAGAGACTGCGGGACCTGAACCTGTTCAGCCTTCACAAGAGAAGGCTGAGGGGGGACCTGGTGACAGTCTATAAACTCACTAGGGGGGACCAGCAGGGTTTGGGAGAGACCTTGTTTCCCCTAGCGCCCCCTGGCATAACAAGGAATAACGACCCCAAGTTGTTGGAGAGTAGGTTTAGATTAGACATCTGTAAGAACTACTTCACAGTCAGGGCGGCTAGGATCTGGAACCAACTTCAAAGGGAAGTGGTGCCGGCTCCTATCCCGGGGGTCTTTAAGAAGAGGCTTGATACCTACCTGGCTGGAGTCATTTGAGCCCAGTTTTTCTCCTGCCCAGGTGGGGGGGTCAGACTTGAAGATCTACAAGGTCCCTTCCAACCCTACTTCTATGATTCTATGAAATATGTGTAAAGAGAATTTAATGATAGGGTATTTTAGAACAGCTTGCTTCTGCTGTTTCCCAGGGAACTGTTTTAACTCACAAATTTCTGTATCTTAGATTCAAAAGAAACGAGGGGATCTGCGACTGATTGTAGCATCGGCTACCCTGGATGCAGAGGTACAGCTTCTTTTTAGCTTAAAAATTACATTGACCTCAAGTGGATATGTAACTTGTAGCAGAAGACACCTTGGTCTGTATGCTGCCTATTTGGGGAATAATTATTTGTATGAGTGATGGTAAAGGGGAAGTAGACCCTTGCAGACTTTTTATTTCTGTTATTTTAACGTGGGCACATTTTGGTGGTGGTTTTTAGTTTTTCTTATTTGATTTGTTTGCACTTTTTCAGTAAATAGCAGCTTTTAAGAAATGCTGATTATTCTTAATCTACCTGGTATTTTTCTCTGATAAAACCAAAAAAATTAACCCTGTATTGGTGAATAGTGATACACTGACAACAGCTGACTAATAGGAATGTATGATTATTAAATAATCTGTTGCCATAGACCCTTGCTATTTAATTTTAGTAAGCCAAAAGCACTTTGAGAATTACAGTTGAATGAATTAGCTGGCAGATGCACACAGTGGAGCCAAATTAATGTGTTAGAAAAAAAATACATTGTTCATTTGACAGCTAATTAAATTTTACACATTGATAATGTGCCAGACCTGGTCATGTACTCAAACATGTTCTTTAGTTTCCTTGTACAAGAAAGGCATTATTACAGCATTCCATTAAACTTTTGCTATACTCAAAAAGATGTTGAATTTTCAATTATCTTGGAGGCATATTTTAGTCATTTGCTAATATATGGTTATATTCATATACAGCATGTTAACTATACATGTATTACTAAGGAAATATATTTTGAAATTTGAATGTTGCTGGGTACAGTAATTACTCTGAGTGTGGTAATATTTTTATTAATCTATTGTTAACAAATATTTGAAATATCTTGTTATGTCAGATTAACTTTAAGCCAATAAGATGTCTTATAAATCACATCCTTATATGAGTCTTCTGAACCTATTTTTGTAAAAATAGGTCCTTGGTCTGTGAGCATCTGACTACTGTTATGTGCACCATTTACTATGTCAGTTGTAGGTGTACCTAAGTGTGCAGAAGACCTGTAAAGCAGTCTAGGGAATTTAAATGCCCAGTTTAGCCAGAGATTGAAAGGTATTTAGGCACCAAAATATCTGCCTTAATTTCTTTAAAAAACAAACAAACAAAAAAATAACCCCTTAAATTTACCATAAACAACAATTGTTAACTTTGGAGACAAAAATCTAAATAGCACTAAGTTGACACTTTTAGTATTCTAAGTTTCTCCCTCAATTCTTTGGTGTAACAAATTGAGTGTTGTGTTTTGTTGTTTGCTTTATTTAGAAATTTAGAGATTTCTTCAATCAAAATGAGACTAGTGACCCCAGCAAGGATACCAGTGTGATTCTTACTGTGGAAGGGAGAACTTTTCCAGTGGATGTCTTTTATATACAGAGGTCTGTTCCTGTTTAATCCTTGTAAGTGGTGATTAGAGCAATGTGTATCTATGGCATCAGCTTGCTTAGTTTAAAATTTAGGAATTCTTTGTGGGGGATTAATTGAGGGAACGTTAGCTATTCTTTCAAAATATTCTTACATGGTTTTAATGCCAACACCTTAAGGGTATCGATGTGAACATAATTTTTTCAGTTGAATGTGCATTTTCTTGTATTTGTTAATAGCAAAAGTGGGCTTGAATAGAAGAAAAGGGCTTCAGGAGCTGCCCATGCCAGCCATCTGGAGTGCATCTCAGACAGGTGTTACAGGGATTTAGTGACATCTTTTGCTTTTCCTCCCTCAGAGGGAGCAGGCCAAGTGGTATTTCATTATTTGCTTTGCCACTGTTCACAGAAAAGAATGTGCAAACCTGGTAGGAGAATTGTGTTTGTTCTCTTCAGAAGGAAACACATAAGTTTGGCAATAGTAAGCTTTCTGTTTTTTTAAAGCCCCCACAACCAATGTTCGGGCTGCATTTTTGCTGGACAGAGAAATGTTGGTATGATGTACCCCTCATTCAGCTGTTGTGCCCTCCAAAAGCTATGGAGATGGTTAAAATACAACATAATAATAGACTGTAAGGAGAACAGCACCTAGGAAGTAAAGGAATAGCCATTCCATCCTAGGAAACAGTGTCTTCACACATCCTGCTGTGATGAAGCATGCTACTTTACCATTTATGCTGCATTGGCATTTTCTGTAACCATCTCCCATGTAACTACTTGGCAAGCCTCAGCTTGAGCACAGTATGATGTGGCTGTCTCATTCATAGCTTACAACCTACCTCAGATCAGATTTCTGGGTTTGGATATGTGGTCTTCCCTCTTCTGTTTGAAGGACATGCCTTTAGCCTCTTAAAAATAAGTGTTGCCTTGTTAATATCTAACTTTTTACAGATGAGTTGCACATTACTGGAAGCAAGGGAAACGTCTTAAAGGAGATCATAGTAGCCTGTTTATACCAAGGCAGTCGTTCAGGAACTAGTCTTTAGGTCCAGGTATTCAGGGGAGTTATTCATTTGTGCACATATATCTTTGTGCAGATACTAATTCATATTTGTGGAAACACATTTCTTGCTGAGTTATTACATTTTTTTTCAGAGAGAATACCACATTTCATATGTGCATTTGGAAGCAAGTCTGAATATTATGAGAGTTTTATATAAATGAGAGCCTGTAGAAATTAAGAAATATGAACAATTATGGCTAGATTTTTTAAAAAGTGTGCACGCAGTTGTAAACAACATCTGGGCAATTAGAGGTATTTGTGTGCATTTGCAGTAATTACTTCATAAATTTAGCCCTCAATACTTGCACTAGAATTTCACTTAAGTGTTCAATTGTTCACATATATACCAGCTTGGTTTATTAGGAAATGAAGTCTTTAAAATGGTGCTTTTTCTGTGTAATTGTAGTATCACAAACAGCATATTTTTGCAAAAGCCTGTCCTGATGGGAAGGAAACAGATGGGGTGCATCTGACTGACGTGGTGAACATGGCAATTAGCAAGGCCCAAAGGCTGACTGGTTAATTTTCTAAAGATACATCATGAATTAAATGAGAATATAATTGATTTGTAATGCCTATGCAAAGCTAGTAATTTGTTCTTTCCTTCTTAAAGATAAAAGATTGTAGTTATGCACATACTAAGGCTTTTTTTTTGTTTCCCCACCCCTCTAACAGCCCTGTTCCAGATTATGTCAAATCAACTGTAGAAACCGTGATGAAAATTCACCAGATGGAGAGTGATGGGGATATATTGGCCTTTCTAACTGGCCAGGTACAAACATACATTAAAAGGATGCTTTTCTTTTTTTGCTTTAAGTTAGTATTTTTCAGGATATGGTTTTGCAAGCTCTCATTATAACTCTGCTCCTGTTAAAGATACTGGCAGTTTGGAAACCCATAAAAGTAAAATTAGGTCAGTGTTGAACATTTTTTGGAAATCCTGCTATTACACCAAATTAATCAAACCCTGGTGCTGTGAATAGTTATCTTGTGATGTTGCTCTGTGCTTTCAGTTCCATTGAAAATGACAGAAACAATCCATTATTTCTTTGTACTGTTTTCATATACTAGGTTTCTAAATGATGTGCAAGTCATCATTAATCAATGTAAATTGCATTTGTGATAAGCACTAAGATATTAAATTGAAGAACATAAGATTACAAGGTGCTTCCTGGATCTGAGTCCTGTCCGCTGCTATCATAAGCAAACCACTATCTGTAATCTCATTCAGAAATTTATCAAGTTCAGTCTTAAAACCAGTTGAGTTTCTCTTTCTCTGGCTGCTCCTTTTGGAAAGCTCTTATTTTATATCTTAAATTATAAGATGTTAATTAAAGTACTTGTAAAATTACATGATCTGTATAACTTCAACCTAGTTGTTACTGTACATGTTTTTTACTCGCCCTCTAAGGCAGTGGTTCCCAAACTGAGTCGCAACGCCATTTGGGGTTGCGAGAAATAAAATCACTTTAAGTCAGAGCCAGGCAAAATATGGCTTGCAGGCCGTATCCAGCCTGCCAGACAGTTTCATCTGACCACTGGCACCCACCAACTAACTGTGCAGCTTCCAGGCAGGGTGGCAGCTGCTGCTGCTGCTGGGGGATCTACTTGCCTCCCACGGCATCCCACTCGCTCCTGGCACCAGGTGGGGAAGTGGCAGGGGTGGGCAGAGGGGAGCTCCAGCAGGAGATGGGGTGGGAGCATGGGGCTGGGGTTGGTGTCAGCATAGAACCCAACCCCAGGGGGGCAGTGGGACAGTGCAGCTCAGGTGGGCAGGGTGTGGGTGTGAGGACTCCCACACACTCCTCGCCCCATGGCATAGCCCTTGCCGCTGGCGGCAGCAGCAGGTGACAGGTGCTTGGGGCAGTCATGGGCTGCCCAAGCACTGCCACCTGGCAGTGCACGGCTCCAGCCAATTCTGCATGTGGTGGTGAGGAGAGCACAGGCCAGCCGGCTTGTATCTTGCAGGACTCCGCGTGGCATGTGCAATTCTATGTCGCTGGGAGAAGCCTCACACAACAGAGCTGGCTGCCCTCTGTGCCCCCTGCTGTGCAAGTCCTGGGACTGCTGGGAATCAGGGAACGGGACTTCCTCCACTCCTGCCTGAATCTAGGGATCTGCACAGCAGGGGGTGGGGAAGGCAGCTGGTTCCATCATGGGGCTTCTCCCAATGTCATGCGAGTGCCTGGAGCTGTATGTGTGCCACTCAGAGCCCCGTGCAATAGAAGGAGTGGAGGTAGGAAGTGGGGAGCTGGGTTCTGTGCTCCACTCTGACTGCAGCAGCCACCACCTCCCACAAGCGGCAGCTGGGGCTCGGGTATTACTGAAGGGTTGCAGGGTGCTGTGAACCCTGGCCCTGGGGCACCCGGGGAGGCATGGGGGGCTGTGGGTTGGGAGTGAGGGGACTTGCTGAGGAAATGGGGTCATGCTGAGGAAATGGGATCATAAATGGGATCACACTGAGGAAAAGTTTGGGAAGTACTGCTCTAAGTGCATTATAGAGCAACACCTTTATAGAGCCAGCAGCTATATAGTATTTGAATCATTACTTGTTAGTGCTGATTCCTTCTGGCATGCCCTTCAGATAGCAATTCTGTGCTACAGTCATTGTCTTTTACTTTTTCTACTCACGAATTTATTCCAGAATCACTATTGTATTTTAGTACAAATTAACTTTCAAGGATAGATTGGATCTGCATATGTATTGAGCACAAGGTGCACCTTCATCTGAAGTGGGTTGTTCTAAGTGGTCCTGTAATAAAGTAGTTTAGTTGAAGCTGCCCAATATTGGGTAAGGGAAGCGCATTGTTGTCTTGCATGCTACATTTCTTGTTTAGTAGTGCAATGTGTTTTGCTTCCTGTGAAAATGAAGGTGACTAGCAAAGCATTATATTTCAGATAAGATGCTTTTCTTTCAGTGGTTGAACTGGGTTGGTTTGTGGCAACTTGGCAATCTGGTCCTGTGTTAAGGGGTCTGAAAACTGACCCTCTAAAGACTGATCTTTTTATGAGAAAAATGCTGTAGTTTCTATTGTTGCTAAAATAACTTCTAAAATGTAGAGAGTAATTGATATGGTGATACCTGCCTTAGTTTGCAGACAGCCATGATCAATTTTTTAACGGAATTAAATGCCACCCTTAATTTTAATTGGGTTTAAATTTGAAGTTGACCAACAGTTCAGATATGTATTCTGTTAACTATTTTACTGGTTAACAAATCTAAGAGGTGGTCTTAACATGAAGTTCTGCTCAGTCTAGATTGATTGGCATCTCTCTTTTGACATCTGAAATTGTTCAAAGTGCCTGAGAGCACTACTATATTCTCCCTCCTCAACTCGAAATTCAGCCTACGTTTATATTGTGTGCGGTCATGTATTTATTTATTTTTAGTTCAATAGATGCCTCATATATTGTCCAAGTTAGCTAAATGATTTACATAACATTCAAAGTGTTTGAAGTACAAGGCATTGGAGATGAACTCTTTGTGCATCTTTCTCTTACACGGGTTTTAGTTGTGTGATGATATAGCTAAATTTCTCTTGGTCTGTCTGTACTTTTCTAGGAGGAAGTAGAAACTGTTGTTTCTATGCTGATAGAACAGGCTCGAGCCCTTTCTCGTACTGGGATGAAGAAACACCTCCGTGTTCTCCCTTTGTATGCTGGGCTTCCTTCCTCTGAGCAGATGAAAGTATTTGAGAGGGTTTCACACAGTGTCAGAAAGGTAAGGCTGCTACTTAGAATATTGCTTTAGTGCCTCTCATTCAGAGGGATTCCCATACTCTTTACAGATAATAGTATCTTGTGGGCTCAGATCAAACGCTGTATCTTGCCCTTTGTTATATGGTCAGCTTAGAGACCACCAAGTTGGTGGTGTCTGGATACATTATTCAGTCCCTTTTTCCAAGCAGTTATGTCCCAAGAATTGTAAACTGGAGCAAAAAAGTTCCCATGATCCCCCATAATATAATCTGCACTGAGTTGCTTGTAGTATACTTTGCATTGTGTTTTCAGCATCTTTCTAAACATTCCCGGTGATCATAGATTCCCTGTAGTTTCCTAGTAGTTCAGTTGTAACAATTGTCCTCAGCCACTCTCATGTGGGCTGTTGCTCTACAAATGCACCTGTCAATGGCTGCTGCCCTTGCCCCTGTTTCCTTCTGACCCTTTCACTAGCGGTTCCTGCCTTTGTAGGAGACTTGCACCATGCACACGTATCTATACTTGTGACATGGGCCTCTGTCCTCTTCCGGTCTTTGAACTGCAACCTCCAACCCACAGCTATTTCACTGCTGTCCTACTCCACTAACTCTGACTCTGTTGGGAGCTGTTGAGCCCCATTCTCTTAAGGAGCTCTGGTCTCTTTCCCAGCCAGAATGAACCAAATGTTTTCTTTTAGGATCACTTACATAGCTCAAAGAGGCAGAGTCAAGTGCTTAGAATTTTAAAGGGGTCTTACCTCCAGCTGTGTGGACTTGGGCTTCTCAACCTGTTACATCTGCCCATCTCTACAGTGTACTAAATTCTGATACGGATCTGGGCACCCTTTCTGTGTCAAGTATTACTGCAGGTCACTTTTCAGATGGCAAGTGCTATCAATAATGAGGGACTTATTAGCAGTTCCTGCTACTGCAAATTATTATGGTTTTAGGCTCTTTCTTACTTCTCAGTTTGTCAAAAATGTTACAGCTACAGTAAGTTCTCTCATGTTTGCCTGATCAGTTTTCCTTTCTAGTTGCTACACTGGCTCCCATATTTATCTTCATTCTTTTCAAGCTTCTCAGTCTCTTCTCTGCAATACTCTGCTCTTGATGTCTGCTTCAGTTTCTTGCATTTCTTTCTGAAATCCATACTGATACAGATATCTTTTAACAGTAAAACAAGACTTAGTAATAGGCTGGGTAAATGCAGTAAAATTTCATTTAAAAAGAGTTAAAACTTGTCTTGTTTTCATTGACAATGAGTGTCTGGCTCCAGCTAGCTTCCATCGATCACTTCATGCTATAAAGTAGAGCTACCATGCAATTGGGCAGTTGGTGTTTTTGCATAGGCAAGGCCTGTGTTTGGAAGGGAAATATTGTTAGCATTGCAGGGCCCAGTGGATTTGATTTAAATCACTGGTCAGGAAGCCTTGATTTAATCATTGCTTTCTACAGAAAGTGCATTCTTGTTGTTTGATAGCCTTTTTTTTATTTAACTTCTTGAAATGGCACTTTTAGAGAGAGATAAAGACTTCACTGTGTGTACACAAACTTGCAGAGAGACAATAGGGCTGATGGGTGGGTAATCAGTAGGGATGTGCGAAGCTTTGGGTGATGATTCGATTTGGAGGAGATTCGGCCTGAATCGGTGGCTGAATTTCTGAATCCGAATTGAATCGGGACCAATTAAAAGGTCCAAATTGATTCAAAGGTCTCCAAATCTGATGATTTGGACAGTCCCAGGGGGCTGCAGCTGGACTCAGAGTGGGTAAGTAGGGGGAGGAATCCATGGGGGGACCTCTGCCAGGCCCCATCCCCTGCCTGCTCCCCCAGTCCCTGTGACCTCCACCTGCCCACCCCAGCTCCTGTTGCTTTAAAAAAATGCCTCCACTCACTGGCTGCTGCTGGGCGGGGGCGTGATCCCCGCTTCTCCACACTGCCCCATGCTGCATGGGGGGCTCTGCCACGAGCCCCCTGACTCCCCCGGACCCCTCATGGGTGCCCTGCCTGGGCCAGCTCTGACCCTTTAAGAAAAGAAAAAGGGGAAAACCCTGGGACTCATGGCTCCTGCAGCGGCCTCAGGGCTTTGAGGGGCTCATGCAGAGCCCCCCATGTGGCATGGGGCAGTAGGGATCACCCTCCCCGCTGGGCAGGAATGGTGAGTGTGGGGGTTTTCTTGGTGCGGGGCTTGTTTGTTTGTTTTTTTCTTGGTGGGGGCTTGAGCCGCAGCGGGTGGGGCAGCCATGGGGGGGCTAGGGGAGCAGGGGGGTTTGCGGGGCTCGTGCAGAGCCTCCCACACAGCGTGGGGGCATCAGGGATTGCCCCCCTGCCTGGCAGCACCCAGTGAGTCTGGGCTCTTTTTTAAAGGGCTGGGAGCTGGGGCAGGTGGGACAGCCATTGCCCAGCTGGGAGAGCAGAAGGGGGATGGGCCTGGCCTGGGCAATTTGGCCAGATCAATTCGGGATGGTGATTTGAATCGCTGAATCGAATTGCATGTCCCCTGAATCAGCTGCATCTGAATCTGAAGCAAATACTAGCTGTTTTGCACAGGCCTAGTAATTAGATCTGTTATCTCTCATCTCAATATACATAAGGATGTTATCTGTGGAGGCAACAAACTTTCCCTATGCCTGAAGAAGAGCCTTTGTGCCTGAAAGCTTGCCAAGAACAATTTTGCTAACTATTTAGTAGGTCTAACAAAAGATATCACATCTACCCAAAGAACTTTGTCAGTCTGTGATCTCTGGAGACACAAATCTTCAGTTTAGAAACTGAAACTCAGCATCATTGAGATGATTAATGGGATCTTCTAGACTGAGCACTGAGTCCCATTGGGTAGAGTGGTTTTCTTTAGTCTTTACTAATGTATAGAGGAACCTCTGGGAACTCTATGAGATTGGGCCCCTAATATAGTCCATGGCCTATTGTGACCTATTTATAAAACTTCTAAAAAGTTTACGTGGATATATTGTTTCAAATAGTATATAATTAGAAGTTATAATCCCTATTCCATGATGATCTCTTTGAACTTTAACTTATCTTAAATTAAAACTATCTTAATTTTTTTTTTAAAGCATGTTAATAAAAAATATGATTAAATGAAAAAATCTGATTTTTTAACTTAAAAAATCATTGATTTTTATCCACCCTGTTGCAGGGGATGAGTTACCATTGTTTTTGTCTCTTTGTGGATTTGATTATTACAGTTGCTCGTTCCCTATTGGAGGATGTTGGACAATTGGAAATTTACCTCTCTTGCCTCCTTAGTACACCACTGACTCAAACTTTAAGGATTTTTTAATATGTTGCTGTTTCAAATGACATAAAATTATACTTCTCTCGGCTTTGCCATAACATTTTTGCTGCTTTAAAAAAAATTGACAAGACCTTAACTTCCTATGGATATTATCTACTTTGAGATCAGCTGTTTCCATTTTTATTATTGTTACAAGTAAAGGCAGACGATTTCTCTCTAACATTTCCTTCAGTTATAATAATTTTTTGTGGTTTTCTGTTTATCTGATAGCAGTTAGTATATGTAGAGTTAGTTTAATTTTTTTGTTGTATAGATAACCTGTTTCCCTTGGTTTTTATGGGGAGAATATAGCAGTTTATATATCTATTTTAATATCACGTGAACAGCTTCACCTGTGCATTACTTCTGTGCTTTCCTGTATATTTTTTGTAGATGACACATCTGAATTATTTCAGGTGACTCCCATTTGAGGCCTAGGGCTGCGACTGCAGACTTGAATGGAAATTGGAACTCAAATAACTTGATTGCCTTTGGTGTCTCTAGGTGATTGTGGCCACCAATATTGCTGAAACATCCATTACCATTCATGGGATCTCATCTGTGATTGACTGTGGCTTTATGAAACTTCGGGCCTATAATCCCAAAACAGCCATTGAATGCCTTGTAGTTGTTCCAGTGTCAAAGGCATCAGCTAATCAGAGAGCAGGACGTGCAGGCCGAAACCGCTCTGGAAAATGTTATAGGCTTTACACAGGTAGGTGATGTATTGCACAGGAGAAGTTGCTGTTTTGTGACTTGCATTTAGCTTTACTGCTTTCTTTTTGCAAACATCAGGAACTGTCTTAAAATATACTCATTGAGGTTCAGACTGCTGTTGATTTAATTCTAGCAGGAAAGCATTTGTGCCCTATGGGGGTTTGCATACCACTAGGCACATGCCTTATGTGTAATTAATTTACTAATGTCTAATAATGTTCAGGTATCATAATAAGATGCCCTGCATTTTTCATTGTATAGATCTTTGGCTATATTAGTTTATGATTTAAAAACACTCCATGTTGATAACAAATGGCTTGTTAATGATGGTGGTTGTGGTCTCCAGTCAATTTTATTTTAATTAATAATAGAAAAATAGTTTAAATATTGTTCTTTTTACATTGACTTAGAGTAATTTTTAGTATAGTGAGTACCTCTAAAGCATTTCACTCACTTTAACAATGTGAAAATCAAATGGGATGCAAAGAAAATACATTGGCTCAGAATGAGTGTTTGATTCTGAAACTTGATTCCAAAGAGCTTTTACTTCATCCGCCACAGAGGAAGACTTTGAGAAGTTGCCACAGTCCACTGTTCCAGAAATGCAGCGGAGTAACCTGTCACCCGTCATATTGCAGTTGAAAGCTTTGGGAATTGACAATGTGCTCAGGTTCCCCTTCCTCTCTGTAAGTCGTGGATTCCTTTCAGAAATCTGCTTCTCGGGTGGTCAGACTTTTCAGGCTGTGGACTCTTAGTCATTTTCTAATCAGTACCCATTTTATAATTGTGTAACATCTCTGTGGCAGCTACAGTATTAGCATATTTACTTGGCTGGCTCCTCCTTGTTTCCTTCTGTTATCTACAAATATCCAGGCTCCTATTTGCAATAAAGATCCTGGACACTTATAGAAGCAGTGGGAAACAAGAAAGATGATCCAGTAGTGTGTGCCTGTTTTCTCCCTGTGGATCACAGGCAAGTGCTCTATAAACAATCTGAGGTCCATGCACCATAGTTGCTCTGTTACTTTGGAAAGAGTCCTGGATGACTACATCCCATTTTAGTGAGCAGTATTAGCTGTTTCTTATTTTTCCAGCTCTAGTGAAATTCCATTATTTTATCCTGTTGTACAGAAAAGACCTGAGAGTTTACTCTCATCAAGAATAGCTGTTATAAAAAGAGCTGCTCAGAAAGAAGAAAATCCTCAGGATTAATCAAATATTGTACAGTTATAGCTGCCTTGCACTTAAGCTGTGGAAAAGAAATCTGAAGAATAAAAATTACTTGGCTTAATTTATATTAGCTGTAGCAAACAATTATTAAATTCAATTTTTGTAATGTCTCCTATTGTTATATTTCCATTGATATGCACCACCCAGTACAATAGCATTTAAAGTAAGACAGTTTAAAAAGAAATTGTTCCAGTTCCCTATGGAATAGCTCTTTGACAGTGCAAGTTTGTTTTTCGTTTGGTTTTATTTCATGTGCTCATAGGGTCTTGAAAGCATCACAGCAATTATGCTGTAACAGTTCAGGAGATGAGGTAATGTAATAACTCTCCCTCCATTCTGTATTGAAAAGGGTATGGAAAGGACTGCATACAGAAAGGATGGGATTGATAATGAAAGATTATACCTGGTGCTACTGGGGTGTTTTTCCTTTTGTATGAGAGAAGGAATCTTATAGTTCTTTCCTATTGTGAAAATTCACAGAATTACTATGTCAGTGATAATCTGAAAAGTTGTTTTTCTTTGTATTTCATAGCCACCCCCTGCACAATCAATGGTGCAAGCTTTGGAATTGCTGTATGCTTTAGGAGGTAAGGCTGCTACATTTTCATAGGTTTTTATAGTAACATTACAGAGGAATAAGTCAAAATCCATGTTTCCGTTCTTTAAACAGGTATTAATCTGGCATCTTTTAGAGAATACTGTTTGGAAAGAGAACACTTAAGAGTGAGGTCCACTCTTGATGTGTTTCTAAGATGATTCTAAATCAGGGAGGGAAATTATTTAGGCTGGAGGGCCGCTTACAGAGTTTTGGTGAGCTCTCGGTCGGCAACCTCCACCCTCAACAGCTCACCAAAACTCCCTAAGTGGCCTCCATGGGTAGGGTGCGCTCAGTCAGGTAGATGGGATTCCAGGCTGCGCTGGGATTGGGATCGTGGGTGGTGACAGCATGGGGCCAGGGCCCAGGGCAGATCTGCGATCCACTCTCTGCATAACACATCATGGCCAGCCCAACCCAGGATGGGGGTAGAGCATATGCCTGTGACCCGGCCCCTGCTGCCTGCACTGTAGCACAGGTACATCTAGGCAGACCCAGTACAGTGTGGCTGCGGAGCAGCATAGCCCAGCAGTGTGGGGCAGTCTAATTCATTTGTGATCTGTCAGGACTGTCCTGCACTGCCAGACTGCACTGTTGTGCAGCTACACTGTACTGGGCTGCCTGCATGCGCCTGTGCTGGGGTGGGTGCAGGGGAGTCCAGGTCATGGATATATACTCTGCCCCCCTCCTGGGTTGGGCCAGTCACAATCTGTTGTGCAGGGTGCAGATTGCTTATCTGTTCCCACCCTGTGATCTGTTACCACCCATCCCACTCCCAGCTGCTGCTCCCTGCCTGCCCACAGACCCATTCCATTTTCCTGGCCAAACGTGCCCTACCTACATGGGTCCTGGGCTGGTCTCCATGGAGACCCTGCTCTGTCCAGTGTGTGAGATGGATAGGCCAAGGTGCCCGGGTAGTGGGGCTGGGTCCAGTGGTGGTGGTAACTCTGGTAGCAGCAGCTGGAAGGAGCTGCTGCTTTCAGGGCTGCTGGGAAGCAGAGTCTGGCTGCCATATTGCCCCAGCTCCACTGTGTGCCTGGGGGCAGTGGGACCAGCTGCTCGTGCCACAGCTCTGGCTGCCCTCAAGCCTGGCCCAAGTGGTGGTGAGGGAACATGCCATGGGCTGGATAAAATTTCTTGGTGGGCTGGATCTGGCTTGCAGGTCCTATTTTACCCACCTCTGTTCTAAACAGAAACAAGAGCAACAAAAAACCCTAAGCATCCAGAAGTTTTAGAAAGGGTATATTTCATAGATGTTAGGGCTGCAAGGGACCTCACAAGATTATTGGGTCCAGCCTCCTGCCCAAGGGGCAGGAAGTCACCAGGGGTCAAATGATACCAGCGAAATAGGCATCCAAGTGTTTTTTAAAAGTATACGGAGCAGGTGCTTGCACTACCTCTCAGGAGAGTCTATTCCAGGCCCTGGGAACTTGGGCAGTAAAGAAGTTTTTCCTTGTGTCCAATCTAAAATGGTCTTCCAGGAGTTTTTGACCATTGTGCCTTGTCTTCCCAAGGGGTGCCCTGGTGAACAGACATTCTCCCAGTTCCTGATGCACACCGCTTATGTACTTATAGGCTGCCACCGTCACCCCTGAGCCTTCACTTCTCCAGGCTGAAGAGTCCCATGGCTCTTAGCCTGTCCTCATAAGCCTGCTCTCTTGTCCTCTAATCATGTGCGTGGCTGTCCTCTGCACTCAAGCTTTTCCACCTCCTTTCTGAATTGCAGAGCCCAGAACTGGAGGCAGTATTCCAGCTGTGGTCTCACCAAGGCCGAGTCAAGTGGGAGGATGACTTCCTGGGTCTTGCTTGGGGGATGCATCAGTAGATGCAAGCCAGAGTTTTGTTTGCTTTGCTGGCTGCGGTGGTTCATGTTCATCTTGTGGTCAGTCATGACCCCTAAGTCTCTTTCAGTCATGGTGCTAGCGAGTAGGGCTGTGTGAAGCTTCACTGGCTGTTTTGTTTTGACTCATTTCAAGCTTGAAATGGCAAAATCGAAACAAAACAAAGGGCTTCAAAACAGCCTCAAAACAAAATGAGGTCAGCCAAAACATTTTGAAAGTTTTGAAACATTTTGAGTTTTGAAGCAGCAGCCAGGTGGTGGGAGGCAGGGGAGAGCCAGGTCTGCGCTCTGAGTGGCTCCGTATTCCCATGTAGCTCCGCAGCCCCATGTGGCTCAGCCTGGGGGGGAATGCAACCCTGGCTCTCCCCACCTCCCACTGGTGGGCTGTGCTCCGTGGGGCTAGCGAAGCCAATCTGAGCACAGCACCAGCTCTACCTGCCTCCTGCCACTGGGCTGCATTCCAGTTGGCTCCACCAGCCCCATGCAGCTCAGCCTGGTGGCAGGAGGTGGGCAGAGCCAGTGCTGTGCTCCACCTCCCACCACCGGGCTGAGTTCCATGGGGCTGTGAGCTGTTGGGAGCTGAGCCCGGTAGAGGGAGCTGGGGCACAGCGCCCAGCGCCCTCCTTCCACCAGGCTCAGTGCCCAGTGGCTCCCAGCCCCGTAAAATGAGCCTGGTGGGGTAAGTGGAGCGCAGTGACAGGGCTGTGTGCTGCCTCTCTCAGCTGGGCTCAGCTTCCAGCGCCGGCCCCAGGCGGCAGTGACAGCCTCCTGCCTGCACCCTTGAGAGGGCTGCAGGGCTCTGCCAGTCACCTCTGGGGTGTGGGCCCCTGATCTGCCTGCGATTACAGGAGGAGGATGCTCCTCCAGTTTCACGTTTCCCCATTATAGCCTATGGGTGAAATGTCGATACAGCATTGAAACAGCAAAATTGTTTCGACAAAACAGAACAGTGCTTTTGAAACGAAACTAAACTCAAAATGAAACATTGTTCTGTTGAAACGGAAGTTGAAGCAGATCAGTGCTGCTTTGCACAGCCCTACTAGCAAGTGTTGTGCTGTTGAGCCTGTAAGTGTGGTATGGGTTTTTCCTCTCAAGGTGGAGCACCTAGCATTTTTCATTCAATGCCATCAGGTTTTGATCCGCCCACCTTGTAAGCCTGTTGTGGTCGGCCTGGATTGCCAGCCTGTACTCTAGGGTGACCTGTTCCTCATAGCTGCTCCCAGTGGCTTGGTGTCGTCAGTGAACTTAGCCAGTCCACGTCTAACACCAGAGTCCAGATAGTTTATAAACACATTGAAGAGTACAGGTCTGAGAATGGAGCCCTGAGGGATGCCACTGGTTACCATGCGCCACGTTGATTTGGTTCCATCAACTACCGCTCTCTGGGTCCGTCCACTGATCCAGTTTCCCAGCCATCAGACCGTGAAATTGTTGAGGCCACAATTCCCCAATTTTTCCATAAACTTTTAAACTAGCTTTTAATGAATGTGCCTTGGAAAGGAGCCGTTATGAAACAACTGAATGCTCTAGAAAATTTTTGAAGTTTTCCCCTGAAGCAGCTCCTATTCATCATTGTCAGAAATGGGATACTGTTCTAGGCGGACTACTCTGACTCACAGTGGCAGGTCTTCCCTTCCTGTTTACTGCAATCATATGAAATGCTTATTAGAAAATAGCTTCCGGAAACTAAGGTGATCAGAGCCTAAAAATAGGCACTTAAATATGCATTTATTCATATGAATAAATTACCTTGCACTGAAGTTCTTAATTGATGCATTGGACGTGTCTTTCATTTTGTGTTACACTGTACCAGTACCAGAAACCTGTAATTTTCCCAAGATTTAACATGCTTGTTAAATTGTTTGTCATTCTTTTGAAGGGTGTGAAATTTAGAAACTGTAAACTAATTCTTTAGTCACTTATCCTTGGTTACTTTTGGAAAGCATTTTTTTGTTAGAATTCTTAGTTCTTAGCCATTAACTAAGAAAAGGAGAGAGGATTTTTCATTTGTGAGCAAATTGATTCTTAGCAGCCATTTTGAGCCTGGAACCAATGCTATGAAGTTGGCTCATGTAATGCAGGTGTAAATATGCTACTAAACCACCTTAGGGAGACAGACAGGTTTAGTTCACTGCCTTGCTGTTCTGGCAAAAACCCTGTGCTTTGGGGCAGATCCCAAGAGAGGTGCAGAAAAAATTTCTGTTTGCTACCTACAGTCTTTCAGCAGAATAGAGCAGCTGCCACTATTACTTAGTTTAGAAGAGTGTGTGTGTCTGTTGCAGTTAAACTGATAAAACCATATGAATTTAAAAGTGAGAGACATGTTTGGTAAGTATGTAGTTAAAGTTGCGGCTGAGCAAAGGAATTAATTACAGTAGGACCTAGATATCTTACAAAGAGAGTGGCAAAGTAATAGTTAATTTTACCATAACTTTTGAATTGCCTGGTGTTTTCTGTTTAAAATTCACTGTAACATTCTCAGTTCCAGAGTGACTGCCTGTATGAACAATCCTGCAGGTTTTCCCTTAGAAGAAAATACATTTTGACATTTTGTGAAACACTCATCAGATCTGGTTTTACCAGAAATTCTTGTGTAGATTGACTTGCCACTGCCAGTAAAGGGCAGATAATTTAATGTTAAATGAAGTTTAGATTGCTGATAAAGGTATTTATAGTTTTAAAATGTGTTGATAGTATTGGGGACTGAACAACTCATTGTCCTCTATTTCACTTCATTTTATGATTTTTTGCCTACAAATATGTGAGGAGATAAATGCTTTTTTCATCCTGGCATTATTTGCATTTATTAATTTCATTTAAATGCTTCCCTTGCCAAAAAGGCTCAGAGTACAATAAAAGACAAAATTATAGAAACAATAAAATATTAAGACAAGGTAAAAAAAAATTCCCCCAATGTATGTCATCTTCAAGTTTCTTCATGGTTCTGTGTGTCCCTACTTATCCACCCTTGCTTTTGTGTTGCATACCATCTTGTCCCACTCTTACTCAGGTTTACAGATTCACTCTTCCTACCTCGTGCAGTATACCTATTCATGCTTTTACCAAAACCTCTTGCTTTGTGATCTTCAGCATCTCCAAAATCTATTTGTTTTTCTCTCTCAAATTATAAAACCTTGTCTGTCTAGAG